GATTTTGATTGTGTTTGAGAAATGCAGGTGAGATGAAACAAAGGATGCTAATTATGCCCATTATTACGCTGTAATCTGTTGGTGTGTTTGCATTATTCTATGACACATTTGTCATAATTATTTTTCATGCTGAAAAGGAGCGGTGTCATCATCCAATCCAGGATCAGCTTGAGGTGCTCTAAAGACATAAAAAGAAATCTTAAAATGAGTTTATTAACTTATGTATGAATGTATGTATGTATATTTAATGATCACTAACTTCTCAGTGACGTCTCCAGATCTTTGGTGCATGTTTAAGGCTTCAGTCTCACGATGGTCACTGAAACAAGTTGATATTAATATGAATGATACACTTTACATTAACACATACAAAGATGAATTATGCTATTTTTCAGTCACCGTTGCAGCTGCTTATCTGGCTGTCTGGTCCGTCTCTTCTTACATAGAAAAGCAAACAGACCTGCGACTACTAGCAGCAGTACTAAACCTGTGAAAACAAGAGATAGCATTTAAGATAAATGCACCAATAAAAACAATTGAAACACCATAATATATAGATCTCACCTGACTGACTGTCAGTAAAGCAGGAAGAGAGAAGATGGTGTCGTAAAAACAAGTTAGCTTAGTAGCAAGAAGTCATGTTTATTTTATCAAACAACACTTAGTGAAAGCATGCGTTTAAAGAGGTGACAGGTAGATTTATGATTTGCTGAAATCATCAGGTGTTTCTCCAGGTGCAGGAAAAACATGGTGCATAAAGACAAAGTACTACAGCTAATGGTGATGAGAACTTACCAGGTACTACTACTCCAATGACAATATAGCTTGTGCGGTTCTTTCCCGGCTCATGCAGACCATCTGGGCTGACTGGTTGTGATGATGTGGGATCTGGAAATAAAGTGCAAAATGTCACATCAATGCTCCATCAAAACAGTGAGCAACATGATGTAAGGTACGTATCTACAGAACAGCTTACCATTGAAAAGACAAATGCTGTTGTGGTCTAGAAGGGAGAACAAGAGAAATGTTACAAATGTGTCCAGTGATTCCTTTAAAGACAAAAATTGCTACCACAGTGCCCTCTGCTGCATGTCCAGTTCTGAGGCTTAAAGTAAGGCTGAGAGCAGAATATGAATACTTATAACATTGTTTAGCAGCAGCACATGGATGACAGTGAGGAAAACCTAGATGATAGGTGTCTACTTGACACAGTATCCCCATATTAATCACAGCACACAGGCAGAATATTCAAATTTTTCAACACTACAATAAGTGGTAAACCAGGTTGCTGAAACAAATACATGATTAGACCAAAAAAAAATAAAAAGTTGGAACAGGGATAATAATGTAAATATGTTATTTTATTTTATTTTATGTTCAGGAATGGTGTGTATTTTTCGGGAAAAAAAACTGAGGGCTTTAGAAAAAAAATGTAAATACCTGTACATTTTCCTTTTGGAATTTCTTTATCTGCTTCAAAGTCACAGTCACCATTCATAGAGGTGGAAACAAATGCCCGGCCATCATGTTGGCAGACACTGTTGAGTTGTGGAGGGCCTGAGCAGTTTGGGATGTTGCTGGAATTCAACAGGGGCTCGTCCTCACAAAACACTTGGGTCACATTTTCAGCACATCCTTTAGGCTTGCAGTAGAACGTCTGCACAGGTCCGTTTCCACCTGTAACATCATGCAGCATGTCTATAAAATATCTTGCAGAAACTTCAATATCATAAAAATAGTGCAAATGAAAGACGACATGTCTGACCTGTTGTTACTGGGAGACACAGAACAAGTTCAGAAACAAACAGCAGCAGAAAGATGAAGGTCAGTTCTGTCAAGACAAATATATG